CTGAATTTGCTACAATTTCTTACTTCCACCCACAGTATTCCACAGATTATTCTAATTTCCAGTCACCTTAACAATGTATCTGAAAGCAAATGATACAATCTAACCCCATGAAACTTCTTCAAAAGCTTTAGACTCAATCCTGCCACCTCAACAGACAGACAAATCATGCCCTGTGATTTGTCATGTTTAGAGACAGGTTCAACAACTTTGTTTTAGTTACAAATTTAGCAAATGCTGTAAAATGGACTTGCAGAAAAGTATCAAGACACAAAACTTACAGGAGAATGAACTTAGCAGAGTTGTCTAAGTACTGGACCAAATGGCCTCCTGTTCTATTCATTCCTTAGCCAGTGCCTCACTACGAAACCTTGAGCAAGTTATTTAATCTGGTTGCCTCAGTTTCTTCTCCCGTAAAATGGAATAATAGACTTGCCTACCTCCCTCACAATAGTATCAGTGGGTGTGTTTGTGAAGTGCTTGAAAATGTAAAGCAGTGATTTCAAAATGTGGGTCTTGAGGGTTGCAGATGATACTAAGTTGGGAGGGGATGCAAGTGCTTTGGAGGATAGGCTCATAATTCAAAATGATCTGGACAAACCGGAGAAATGGTCTGAGGTAAATAGGATGAAATTCAATAAGGACAAATGCAAAGTACTCTGCTTAGCAAGGAACAATTAGTTTCACACATACAGATTGGGAAGTGATTGTACTGCTGAAAGGGATCTAAAGTTATAGTGGACCACAAGTTAAATATGAGGTCAACAGTGTGAAACTGTTGCAAGAAAAGCAAACATGATTCTGGAGTACATTAACAGGAGTGTTATAAGGAAGATATGAGAAGCAATTCTTCCACTCTAATTAGGTCTCAGCTGTGGTATTCTGGGCACCACATTTCAGGAGAGATGTGGAGAAATTGGAGAAGGTCCAGAGAAGAGCAACAAAAATGACTAACGCTCTAGAAAATGCAACACAAGAGGGAACACTGAAAGAACTGGGTTTGTTCAGTTTGGAAGAGAGTAGACTGAGAAGAGACAAGATAGCAGCTTTCAAATACCTAAAAGGGTGCTACAAGGAGGAGGCAGAAAAATTATTCTCTTTAATGTTTTATGATAGGACAAGAAGCAATGGACTTACACTGCACCAAGGGAGATTTAGGTTGGACATTAAGAAAAACTCACTCACTGTCAGGGTGGTTAAACACTGGAGTAAATTGCCTAGGGAGGTTGTGGAATCACCATCCCTGGAGATATTTAAGAGCAAGTTAGACATCTGTCAGGACTTGGTCCTGCCACGAGGGGAGGAGAATGGGCTCAATGACCTTTTGAGGGCCCTTCCAGTTCTAGTGTTTTATGATTCTGTAGTAAGGTTCAGCCTACTGTTGTGCTGGAGGGTGTTGCCAGCTGTCACAGGGGCAAGCAATCACAGACCTTGTTGAAACTGATGGTCATGCTGCCCACCAGTTTCTCTGCTCATTCAGAGTAAATGGAAGTAGTACATAAGATCTTCAAGGAGCAGGAAACAGAAGATGCCACCTAAGGTCCTGGAGAGTACAGGAAGGTCAAAGCAATAACTCAAAGCAATAACTTATAAATAACCGTCTGCGGGGAAGGAGCAGCACCCCCACTGGGACCCCTGAGGACAGGGGCTGCTTCACAGCAGCGTCCCCTATC